CCCCCAAAACCCCAAAACCCCAAAACCCCTAAAAGTAAGATAGCTATTGAAAGATATTTCAAGATTGAGTATTGAAGATTAGACGTTATCAACCCACCATCTTGTCATATTCATTAATGCATCAATATTTGGCTCTAGAGAAGAAACAGCATGGCCGTCATCTGGATAAAAGTGTAAGTCAGTCTTTACTCCAAGCTGTTTCAATCCTCTATAAAAGTGGATTCCTTGCTTATCTGGACATCTTCTGTCATTTCCTCCAATTATGAAAAGAGAAGGAGTTTTTACTTTGTCTACTCTTGAGATTGGAGATTTTTCATACATTTCAGACACATCATCTTTATTCAGTATCCATGTGTGAGGCTTATTACAAGCTACTGAGTAATGCCAGTCAGGAATATCAGAGAATGTTACAGTTGCATGCATAGCTGTAACTGGGTTCCAAATACATGCTGCAGCAAAGCGATCATTCCAATCGGGATGAGAGATCATTGAACAGGTTAAATATCCTCCATGAGAACCTCCATAAACACAAAGTTTAGACTGATCAATCTCTGAATCAAATATGTCAATACATTGTTGAAAGAGGTTTAGACAGTCATCAACATCCATAGTGAAAACATTTCCTGAAAGAGATTCAGCAAACTTCAGCCCATATCCAAGAGATCCTCTGTAATTTACAAAGAATAAGTTATATCCAAGTGATATCCACAGTAACTTATCTTTCTGGAACATGTTATATGAAGGGAATGCTGAATGAGGACCTCCATGTGCAATTAGAATAGTCGGTCTCTTCTGTGTTTCAAATACTCTACCTTCATCAGCAACTCTAATAAAGTATCCTTCAGCTCCCTCTTTCGTTCTTAAAGTGTCAATCTTTATTAAGGGCATTATACTATCAAATAGCTCATGCTTGCCAGATATTTGACAAATTTTTATCCATTTTGGGGTAGCCTCAGTAAACCCTGATACAAGATATGTAGAAGGAGGTTCATGATATGAAGATGAGACCACAAAGGCATAATCGTCTTGAATGTCTAAGATTTCTATGTAATCATTCGTACTCATTTCTGAATTTGTAAGAATTTTTATTTCCTTTGATTCAACGTCAACTGATAAAATAATTTTCTTCCCTTTATTTAAAGAGCTGAGAAGAACTTGGCTTGTTCCTAGCAATTAGGATGGAATTATACCTTTAATGAACTTAGAGTTGTTGTAAACTTGGTGGTATCCAAAAATTCCTGTAAACTCCTCAGTGATATCATAGTCTCTTCTGACAACGTTGTATGATTGTTGGTTATCTTTGCCAAAGTTCTTGACTACATTGAGCTCAAGACTGGTAGCATGAGTGATGAACTCCTCTTTACTACCAAAATAAGCTAAATAAGTATAGTCATCTGAGAATTTAGGAAATCCAGCAAAGTAGTAATCTTCTGTCAAGGTTTCAATTTCATATTTGAATGGCTCAGAATCCTATAAAAGTGTTTCATAAAGATAATATTTAAGATTACTTCTTGAGACGCTTCATTGTCTTTCTTGATTGATTCTGGCTGACTGTACTTTTTAAGATGATACAGCTTTGTTGGTTTGTTCAGTCAAAAATTAATCCCAACTTTATCAATAGGCAAATTATATCCATGAAACACTATGCCTTCTCCACTCTCATCAAACAAAGGATGTGCAGGATATATATTGGTAAATGCTAGAAATAACTATATCTCCTTACCATCTGTGTCGATGTTCCCATTTTTGAAGAATTCTTGGATATCTAAGATTGTAATCTTTCTAAGCTTTAGGTCATACACAACCATAACTGGATACTTCCTATCAGTCAGAGTTTCTCCAAAATTATTTATCTGTGTCCCCTGTTTATCATTATAGAGCCACTTTCTGAAATTATGAGGAATCTTAGAATCTTTTCCAGCTTCTTCTTTAGTCATCGGCTTCTTAACCTCATTGTCCCAGTATGGGGTAAAGTTATCATTAGGCTTCTTTTCAGCAACGAAGACTATCTTATCCTTGCTTTTAGACCATGAGACACCTCCAAAAACTGGATGATTGTAGGGAGCCCCACAGTCAGCGAGTTTTAATGATATCTGGAAGCCTTCTGAATTCCAGTGTTCTAAGTATAAAGCCTTATCATTATTTTGAGTCTGTCTTGATAAGGATCATCTCTGAATCCTTCTTTGTCTTTACTACAATCTGCTTATCCTTTGGCTCAGAAGTAGGAATTTCATTGAGCTGAGAAACCTCCCCTGTTGTAATGTTTATGCTGTAAAGGTCTGAGTGGACTCTTGGTTCATATTTAGAGAGATCTGTTTTGGAAAATAAGACTTTCACCACCATCGATACTAGTTTGTCTCTTTCATAAGTGGAGCCAACTACTTCTACTCCAGTTGTCTAGATTTGGATATTAAGACTTACATTTGGATATTGAGCAATGATATCTTGAAATAGATTGAGGGCGTGTTGAAATTTATCACTGATTTTGCTTTTTGTATCAAATTCTATGGCTAAATACTTTTAATATACCTTTAACAGGTTGTGGGAGAGCTTCCATTTCAAATCTTTAAATAAATAATATCCATTTTTCTCTAATACGACGGGGTTTTGGGGTTTTGGGGTTTTGGGGTTTTGGGG